TTCCCATAATGATTCATGGACATGAGAAGAAACAAGGAATATTTTTACCTCAATATTTCATATTTTTGAATTATAAATTTTTACTGAAAAAGCAAGCAGTAAGCTTAAGCATTCAACACCGAGAATGAGAAAAAGTACTAACGCTACGTATAGCGGTTAACAGGACTTTAAACTTATTTAAGAAAATACTAAAGATCATTTTAATTTAACTATTAAAGAAGTTCATCGTCTTCCTTTTCTAATCCTTTTTATATATTTTTCTTGAAGAACTTCTAATACAACTTTATAAACGAGATTATTTAATAACTAGTCTTCTGGTTTAAACATAAAAAGAAAGATCACGTCTGTCTTCTCCTGTAACCGGAAAATTACAGATTACATATTTTTCTATCAATTAGCTTTCAGTATGCACCTTTCCTTATTATCATCAGCAATCGAAAACCAGTTTTCCTGTACCTAGCAATCTCTCGAGTTTTAAGTCAATGAAATGTTTTGACCTATATGAAGAAAGCTGAAAGTTGTATCGAAATGTTGGTTGTCCCAAATTTTCTTTTCATGTAATACAATCTTTATCGTTATTTTTTCATACATATGAAAAAACAAATTTTAGTCTTTAAACTGAAACTGAAGAAACTTGTTTTCATGATATTATAAGGATTCAAAGAGTCTCGATTGAGTTTCTGAATGATCTTTCAAAGAAAAGCTACCGGTGCTTTGAAAACCTTGTATTCTGTTAAAATAAGTGTGCTGATGCGCGCAAGTGTACATTGAAAGCGCATTCAGCGCTTTCATTTCTAACCTGTTGACATAGTGGTAGGGGACTGGCTGCCATAGCCTTGGGCTTGGGTTCGAATGCCAGAGAAGACACAAATGCTTATGAAAACATAATATATGTGGGGCATAATAAACGTACAAATACTATCGAGCCAAGAGTCCTATAGAGAAATTGATGGAAAGATAAGAGGGATTGAATACACTCAGTTCAATCATCCAGGAGTTGTCTTTCAAAACTGGTACGAAGCTGTGCAAATTATTATTGTCACCTATAGCATGCCCATGGACTAAGCCAGCGACAGGTGCATACCGGAAAAATAAGGTTACAGGGAAAGTCCATTTAACATTGAGGTGAATGCTATGCCAAGCTGGCGATGCTTTTGACGACGCCAAATTTGGCGATAAATCGCCAAAAGTCGCCAAACTTGGCCACCACTTGGCCAAACTTGACATTTTGGTTCGTTTCCTGTAAAACTGCAAATAGGGAAGGATCTTCTGTCTCTACGTAACAGTAACTGTGTATGCCCTCAAGCAATTTTCAGAAATAGTAGGTACTAGAAACTTCTCTGCCGCCGGGAGAAAACTAATAAGACCGGAAAAAGTATCAGTTCTCAGTTTTAGTTTAAAGTTTAGCTCAGAGTACTGAGAATGCTGATAGATCATTATGCATGCTTACGCTATGAGTTCTTTTATATTGTTTTGTACTTAACCTTTTTGGTAATTTGAAGGTGATAACAAGGTGGCAACTACTGACTTTATTCTGTGATACTGAGAAGAGCTATACGAATACTTTTGTGAAAGGTTTCAAAGATGTAAAGTGTTTTTTTTGGGGGGGGGCAGAATTAATTTTATCAAGCTATCTTCGGTTCTGCGCGCATTTAGTCCATACGCGCAGTTCTGCGCGAATGAACCGGACGCACGTAAATGAAATTCGTGGATTAGCTCTGATGGTTATGGTTAGACAAGTGAGATGAGTCACAAATATGTACAAAAACTTTCGTTGTTTGCTGATTAGTGAGTTTTCGTAATCTGTCCTGAAAATTACGGCACGCACTGTGCATACATGCTGAAAAGATGCAGCATGTTTTAACATATCAGAATGTCTATCTTACCAAACAAAATAACCATTTTTCTGCTCGATGGATAAATTCTGATTGCTGCAAACATTAATTATTGAAAATGAAATGAGCTCAGTACGAAATCAAAAACTTTTCTTCTCTCCAAAAATATTTTGCTGTGTTCTAATGAAATAACACTTTTAAGAAATGTTCGAGCGAAGTACTCACAAATGATCACATTCGAGATTATATTTAGCCACCGAGAAAATTTCAGTCTTAGTAAGCATGATAAGTAAGTTACTTGGAATAGAAATGATGGAAAACAGGCGGAAAACAGGCAAGTCAACTTCGTTAAAAGACGAGAAAAGCTAATTACATATTCTTCCAAAAAGAGTTTTATTCATTTTAACTGTTATGAAAGCTTAGAAGAATTAATTAACAACCCCCATTTTTACGTTCTCAAGTTCAGCTCATTTGAATAAATGAAAAAATGTATATATAGATTTCGAGTTTCAGAATTCGCTACACTCGGTTTATTACTAGCGTGCTTTAAAAATGTTTCCAGATGCGACAATTTTTCGTTCGCTGCCTGCGTTTTAATTCGAAATTATTCCCGAAAAGAACAGGAAAAAAAAAAAAAAAGCAAATCTCCGGAAAAATCCTTCTTTTCACGTTTGGCGCATTTTAATTCCAGAAGCGCGCCAAGTTGAAAACGTAATAAACACATATGAGGTGTAAGTTTCGCAAAAGATGTGGGAAAAAAAGGATGGGAATAACAGGTGTTAATTTTCTCCCAACATAATAAGGCCCCAAGACTTATCTAAAGAGCGTGATGTGCTGCTGTGATACGACACGCTGCAGAGCTGCAAAATTATTAATTTTTGCCTTAGATGACAATCTTGTGTCTTCCACCAGTTTCTTTAAAGTAATTACTGACTGAAGCAGTAATGAACACTCCCCTCAGATGTCGCCTCGCTCGCATGTTATTAAACGTCGTTGCCAGATTACGAAGCTTATTCGTTGAAGTGTGCGGCGGCGGAGGGCGAGGAAAAAGAAAAAGAAAAAAAACTAAATTACTTCCATGCTTGATATTAAGGGAAAGTTCTTACAAAGTTTTTTATGCCCATTATTTTAGCGCCTTGGAAAATATATTTTTTATGTTGTTTTTTATTCTCCCGGATGCTTCACGCAAAGACTGAAAGTAACTTGCTTATGGTAATTAGACAGGAAAATTTTTTAAGGTGGAGAAAGAAGGCTGTAATAAAAAAACAAAAAACCTTTCGCTCTAGAGAGAGAGAAAAAAATTTAACGGCCTCAAAAAAGCGAGAAAAAGTGTAATTCTTTTCTGCCTCTAATGGTATCTGTCAAAGTCATTACGACAGCAAATATTAAACGAAAAGTTTTCACAAAGTTTCTTGTTCGCCAAGTTTTTACTTTTTTCCCCCATCTCCTCCATCCAACCAGCCATCAATAAAATATAAAATGTGGAAAGTAGATTGTAGGTAAAGAGAGCAAACATTGGACTTTTGGGCGACGTAAAATTAAACAATTTCTTTCGGATGAAATGCGTTTTCTTTTTCTTCAAACACGTAACTCGATAAAAAGCCCCGACTTTCTTGATTTTTGTCGGAAATATTCATCAAGTTTATTCGAAGGAAAGAATTTCATTAACCGTGGTATAAAAATCGCATTACTGTGACACTGGCATATACTCCGAGTAGAATTTTAAAACATTTTTTAAGCTCTAAGTTATTCAGAATAAGAATATGAAAGTAGGTGAGGTATTTACTGAAACATGATAGGCCTCAGTCTTTCGAACGCATCAAACTCTCTTTCATCAGAAGTAAGCAAAGATTGTTTGTATTAAACACATGTCCCAAACTTAAGGATATAAGAGGGAGTTTCCGATACAGAAGAAACTAAGCAATTAATCGAATCAAGCGCGCAACTTAAACGAATTTACTCTCATCATTTCATTTCAACAAATAAAGAGTAGCTTGTAGCTCTCAGTTTAGACTTTTTAGTTCCTTACTTCTGCTGTTAACTGGGGCCCAGCAGAGGCTGAGCAGTAGTTCGGACTGAAGTCGCTGAATACTGGTAGTTCGGACCGGAGCTCGAATCCCGGCGAACAGGCGGGCTGCATGGGCGCTTGCGTGGCTTTCCCCATGTGTAACATGCATACGATCCAGTTCCCCTTAGATCCCCTTAAGTCCCCCACGAAGGTATCCCCTCCCTCGGCATATAGCCCTCGTGTGCTTTGTCGTAATCAAATAAACCAAACCAAAACAAACTGCTTTAGCTGTTGTAAATTATACTAGTCTATAATATACAAAGGAAATTTGAAAATTATTGTATTTTCAGAACTTAGAAACACTAAGCCAAACAAATAAATAAGCATTAACTAAAATATTTATTGATGATTTATTAGTTATTCAATCAGAATAGTTGCAAACTTAATCTTTGCAATCTTTGCAACAATCTTTACATAAACATACGTAAAAACAAAATGCTATATTTAAACAAATCTCATAAAAACTATTGATAATTCTTCGGTAGAATCTAACTATTAACAGTTCTTCAGTAGTTCGTATCTAAATTTCGTTCATCATCCATCACAAATGGACAAAATTTCGATGCAAATGCCTTAAAATACTAATAACCGCAATAACTAAGTTTAAACCTATTGTTACTGTTACATCTTGTCCGTAGCAGATTTTTACTTTTTTATTTGCATACTTCTAGAATTAGTGATTTATTTCAGTAAATTAAGAATGCATTGAAAAACAAATCGAGGTCTATAAACTAGTCAGTAAAGGTCAAAATAAAGCCTCACAAACTAACTTGAAAAGAGAGGTTAAATCTACAGTAACTAATTTATATAGCTAAATATATATAAATAATAAATATAAAAATGCAAAGATTGACAACGTTATGTAGTGCATTTAAAAAACACTTTGCTCTTCATTTTCCTCCCTTTTCATTGGTTATTGGAATATGGTAAAGTTCAAGAGGGCTATGCGCCTGAACGAAAGGGTACCTTTGTGGAAGACTTTGTCAGGGAAATGGTTTCTTATTCACGTTGAGCATGGAGTCAGCTCGCTTGCCTGAGACTGAATCCAAACAATCTTTCAGTCTTCAACAATCTTAATCATTCGTCCACTTGTGAAGCATTTTCCTCTCTTCAGTTTCTTTGTGTGCTTCTTATGGATTCATATACTGCTTAATGCAAATGTAATATTTTCGTATCACTACCCCACAGCATTTTCTAGGGAAGAAAAAAATGTTACTGGTGTCAAATAATAATGAATTTGTAATTGGTTTATAATAAAAACTTTTACTTACAGCAAATGGTATTTTCGCATTTAAAAAAATATCTCGAAAATGAATGGAGATACAACATTTTCAAGACCAATTTAAAATAACTATTAAAAAGTATTTTGCTGTATAACCATTTGCTGACATTTTGTTTTCCTAAACACCCAAGGCCCGCCAGAGGCGAAATGGTTAAGGCCGCTTAATGCTGAATTTTCGGTCAGGGTTCAATCCCAGGTGAATAAGCTGGCCACAGGTTTGGTTTCTGGTGTTTTCCCCGTGTTTAAAGCGAATACTAGTAAGTTTCCCTTGGACAGTCCTGCCCAAAGGCATCCCTCCTAGAAGGTAGTTATCGCTTGCTTTGCAATATTAAAATAACCTAACTTTATCAGAAACTCCTTAAAATGTAAGTTTAAATCATCGCTTCTTCGCATTTATGCATTCTCATTCGTCAAATACCAAAATCTAAAAATTTTAGGAGCTAAAAGCATTTTCTGTCGTTTTCAATTTATGCATAAAGATTCTGACATCAACAGTGAAGTATTTAAAAACGATTAAAATAGAATTTAAACTCGATCCCTAGTTATATCTGGATTTTATTCATAAAGAAGCAGATTAAAGTGTGAGATAGTTTAAAAGTTTAAAGAAGTTTGAATCATATTTCGATATGAAATAATAATTTAAATTTCTATGTTTGAGTACTCTAGAAACGTTCAGTCTTTACTGTATGATACAGAACTAATGGAAGCATTGTATCTTCAAAGCAAGCTCTCTTTTCAAAATTTATATCTGTTCTAGAGTACTTTAGCATAACAGGAAGTCGTTTCATGTAGCCAAGTGAGATTAACGCTATGAAAAAACGCTAAAATCTCTTAAATCCTTACCGCAGCAAAATGAGCTTAGCTACTGATCCATGGTTCCACTTAACCCCTGAGCCCATATATCATTTCATCCACGTGCGGCCTCCCCCACTTCATACTTTTGAGGAAATTAAGAGAGAGGGGGGTTCAAATTGACGGGGGTTGATGTTTTGTCACCAATGGCAGTTCGACACGTCACGGGAGTCCGCCTTGTTGCAACCGAACAGAATTGCGTTTGACAACTTTATTCGCAGAAATTTCTTTGCTGAGTGGGAGGGATATCTAAAACGGAGTGGCTGGGGGGATAAATATGGTAAAAAATAATAGAAAATATTGAAGGTGGGGAGACTTTGGCTGACATGCTGTAGTACCATTTGTACTCGCATGGATTGTTTTGTATAGAAGCATTCGTTGAGCAGAAAGTTTTTTTTTCTTCTGGAGGGGGGCAGGAAAGAAGTTGAGTTCTTTTTGCCTTATGTGTTTGCATTGATTATATTTATATAGATATATGTATGCATCTAACCATCCGCACGCGTATATATATGTGTGTATATATGAGAGAAAATAAGAGAGGAAGCTAGAATTTTGGGATGCATTGAGGTGTGCATGATGTCCTACACCTGCCCAGTCGTAACGTCTGGAAGTGGGTTAAGGTTTGACAGATTAAGCGATCCATCGCCTTTTTGGCGAAGCATTCCGTTCGCTTCGATTATTTTAGTCGCGTGGGGAAAATTCAAGTACAGCAGTGTTAGGTATTCAGGCTAAATGTCAATCGTCATAGAGAAGTGAGCTGGAAAATATCTACCATTTTTTTTTTTTTTCTTTTTTTTTCAGGAAAATAATAAATAAATAGTAAAAAGGTTTGTTCATTTTTATTTTTTTTTAGGTTTGCATCTATTCTCGTAGTCGTATATTTCTTTGTTTAATCTAGATTTTGCTCCTATTTGTGATTGCTTTCTGTTTGTTTCACATAATTGAATGCGACAAGAAGTAAAAATGAGCAACGCCTTCGCCGGGAATCGAACCACGGACCTTTGGAATACGCCCCCAGCGTGCAGACCACCAAACCACGAAGGCGCGCTAAGAAGGCGGAAGAAATACGTTATAGGGGATGTCCCGATTCAATCTTTTCCCAATTCAGCCCTGATAGTTTAATTCCCAACACTGTCCGAACCAGATATATCGAAAGAGCTCTTGACCGTCATTCTCAATTTAAATTTCGTTACACTGTATAAACGTGAATATAAACATGAAAAAGGCTTAGTGTATGATTTGCACGTTGCGCTCTATACCAAAATAACCCCGTGGTTTGAGTCATCTGAATCTTTTTTTTTTTTTTTTTTTTTTTTTTTTTTTTTTTTTTTAGAAAAAGAAATCCTCGTGTGCCACACGCACCAAAAAAATATTACGTCTAAAGGGGCGTTTTTTTTTTTTTTTTTTTTTTTTTTTTTTTAACATTTTGTATGTTACCTTTATTTATAAAATATCATGTTCTCACTTAAACCATAAAATGCAGTTCAACAGCGTAGCAAAATAATTTAAAATGAGCATATCTTTAGAATTTCAGATACACAGTCTCGTGCGCTGGGGATAAAAATGTTTTTTCTGTACAACTTTGCCATTGTTCGCTTTGAAATCCTTGCGTTTGTTAATCAACAATTCGTTAAAGTTTTACAAAATATGATAAAAAATAATAATAAAACAAATTCCAAATTTCAAATTTGGGCTTCCAGATGCCCATATTCGCAGGAGGTACATACATTCATGCAGATTCTTCACTATTTAATTTCTTTAAATATAATACAGGGCGATACTATGTGGTGGTAACAATATGAATACTGAAACCACACTTGTAGTGAATCAACGCAAATGCTAAAACGAAATTAATAGTCCTGCTGGGCAAATTGTCCCTTTGGAATAAAAACATATATAAAGAAATCATTTACAATGTTGAAAATAAAAATCATTTAGATCATTTATGTAAATAAAAATAATTTTTTATCTGAATCATTTAGAACTAATTTTGGATGATCAGTTCTTAGTGTTAGAAAAATTTTTTTTCCCTCCCCATTTAAATGGAATAGAAGTGATTTTTCAAGTAAACTGGTTCTTCGTTGCTTGTGAAAAAAATTGCAGACCATCGGCTTAGAGAGTTTAAATGTGCTCCAAAGAATAAAAAACGCACATTCAGATGTGTTATACAACAGCTTACATTTTTATTTTTATAACTGGACGATGAATGGTTAAATACAATATAAAAGTCTCTCCAGGAAGAAGAAATAAACATTTTTAATGATTACCGTATTTCCTCACGGAATCCCCCCCTTCTAGGTTTTCAACGAGAAGTTCTGAAAAATTTTAAAATATTCTCGTAATTTTCCCCTTCGTCAATGCATTCAGTGAACGAATTCCCCTAAGATTTAAAAAGAATTCACCAACGTAGTGATTATTTTTGTCCTACTAACAGAGACAATCCCTCACAAACTGCTTGCGAAGTCCACGTCGAAATTGTCCCGTCTGTAGTTGAACTTTATGCCAGCCTAATACAAGAATGGAACCATCATAGCGAAGCAAACACGAACTGACATTCAGTTTATGATTTCATTGAGTTAGCTGCACATTCGCCTTCGCTAATTATTTTTTGATGATTTGAGGCCTAAGGTGCAGCAAAGACAACAATTGCACGAGCGAGATTCAAGTTACAAATGGAGATATCTTATTAGATATAATAATATTAGTATCATTATATATTCTTACTGGAATGCAAGTTTCTTTTAAAGAAATAATATTCGGATAGTTTTCTATAGTTTATCCATGACTAATTTTCTTTTGTTACGTTTTTATCCGGGTCCTTCGGGAATTAAATTATAGGCGTAATTTTTCCCCTATCTATTTTCGAACGATAAAATTAGTAAACAAAGGAGGGGAAATATTTGAAGAAGTATTGTATACGTTCGAATAGTGGTTAGAAATGACTCTGTTTATGATCCATTAAACTTGTGTAAGGAACTTTGTTTCTGCAAAATTTTCGATTGCATTTTCATTCGAAGAGTAATATTTGAATTCAGAGTTCCTTTAAGTGATGATATTTTAATTTCTTAGTACTAGAACTGTTTACACATTCTAAAGGATAATGGTGTGTCGCACGACACTAACGTTACACTCAACATCTATAAACTGGGTACAATTTTGCTCTATGTATGAACATTAAACATTTGCCAACATTAGAGAAAAGTTATTTATTTTGTTAAATACAATCACCGGGGTTGCCGTACTATAATTAGTTGAGAAGAAGTTTAGAAATTAGAATCTTTAGTTTTCATTCTGAATGGCGATCTGAATACCGAACGATTTTGATTACGTCATATTGCATTTTCTTCAGCAGTTTTAAGTAGTCCCTGACAATTTTTCAATTTAGAACTACATGGATTTCCAAGTTTAAGCCTGTTATTTGTAAACGACAATAAATGTAGTAGCTATCATTTTAGCTTTGAATATTTTTTTATCAAATTCATTGCGCTTAGTGAACCTTGAATTGCTTGATGCAAATTAAGTGTACAAATATAAATGCGCACTGTTACAATTATACTGCAGAAAAAAATTCTAATGCTGTTGAAATCTGATCAGTTGACCCCGTGTGATATGTAGGCCAGAATTTCTGAAATAAACTCACTTGTTATCGCTTGTTTACTGCTTTAAAGAAGGTGCTAGAACTGATTAACTTTAATCTGGCGGCCGTGAATAGTTCTCACAAGGCGAACCACGTGTTCATAGCAAACCTGTTCATACCGGTCAACCGCGACTGTTTGGTCATTTGGTCAGCATGAAACCAGTTCATGGCCAATCTAGCTCTGCTTTTGTAATACTCATGATCTTGATTCAGCAAAAAGGTATAAGTGAATGTTTGTCACTTATCTCCTACTACTCGTACTACACCAAGTATGAACCTGAAAATGCTCAACTATGAGAACATCTTATAGAGGTAAATCACAAACAGCTTTATCCAAAAAAATAAGCATTTGGTATCTCTGATAAATACCACTAAATTCAATTAAGCTGCATCAAAAGTACTACAGGACAAGAGTTCTTCAATTCGAGATATTTCCATATGCACCAAGCACTGTAGCATCAGTTAGGATTCTAATGCCAAGTATTAGAAACAGAAGCACAATTGGGCTTAGCGTAGAACGTATCTGGACGGATAGTATGAAACCTTGCCACTTTACTCTTCGATCTCCCCTACCAAATGTTCTCGCCTACAATTCACTTGAATAGTTGAGAGATATGTTGGAAAAACATAAGAGAGCTGCTTAAAAATACCTGAAATGCTTATATTACTTAATGTAAAACACATACTTATTGTTGTTGCATATGCTCACTTGTCTGACTTAGTCAGCCCAAGCCCATGAAATTCCTCGACACATACGAGTATTATTTAATAGTGCATGCCTTAAGAGTCATCATTATTCAATCATGGCTCTTAAGAGGTCTTCAAAGAGGCTGGTTATTTGGGATTCTTGAGTTATTTTGTTTCTCACATTTAATCTGATTGTACATCAAGGTGATTTAGAAAGGTTTTCGTACAGGTGTCCAGGGTGCTCATTAAGGGGCTGCCTTGTCCATAAAGTTTGCAATATTGTCGCGAGTCTTTCGTAATACAAATAATTATCATCTGCAGAAACATTCAGAAAAGCATGTATCCTGAATTGATGGAGATTAAATTCGGTTGACGATTCCTTTAATATACTAATGGGAAGTTCTGAAAGTGAAAAAAGTACTAACTTTAAGACTGCTGGTTTCCCAAGTTGCAGCTAACAAGTAAACGAAAGAAATTTTATGTAGAAACTGAAAAACGTATTGCTGTTTGAGAAGCTGATTACGGCAAGCCAGGTGTGGGTAATCTGCTTAACAGGATGGATGTCTTTCTGGAGGATCTTAACTTTGAATTTTATACTGTTTCATTTAGACTAGTTCCTTTGTCCATTTGCTTGTGTAGGTAAAACCTCGAATCTTTGATCCATTTCTATGCATATAAGTTGCTCGAAACTTAGATGTTCCGAGTTTGAGGTTATTGAAGATAACACTACAATATTTCAGGAATTTGAATTTATTTTCCCCGGATTTTTATATTGATAGCAACCTAATAAATGTGGGTACCTATGAAAAGGTAGTGAACAGAAATCAAAGTAAAATGTCCCTCTTTAAGCTTGGAGCCAGCAGGAAAGAGCTTAGTGTTCCACTCAGCATCAAGATGTCTAACGTGGGGAAATCTAAAAAAAGAGAAAAAGTTAAAAGTTAAAAATTAACTTCACAAAATACCAAAAAATACCAATATAAAATTGAAATATTCATTAGAAAAATTTCTAAGGATTCGCTATTTATGCACTAGAAAATGAAAAAAAAAAAAAAAAAAAAAAAAAAAAAAACACTTTTTCTTTTATACTAACACAACAATTTTAACCACAAGTGACTAAAAAGGAAATTCCTAAAAAATATGTGAAAGAACTGTATTACGGCATTAATAAAATATCAAGAAATATTAGACTTTATAGCATAGAAATAACATATCTAAGTACCATGCATTTAAATTTGAGTTGAGAAATTTTTCTTTCTAAATAGCAATATGTGAAACTCTTTTCATCATGTTTATATATTATGTTCCATTTCATATATCTTCAGCTGAATGGTAGTTGAAATAATAAATGCAACAGAAGCCTGATTAACCAACTTTTTAATACAAAGCATAATTAATACAAAGCAAGCCTATAAGTGTTACGTGCTACTCTATTTAGCTCATAAAATCTTTGTCGTAAATATTCGACTGCGCACATGAAAAATCCACAAAATATTACATGAAGATGAACTATTTGCAATCAAAAGATTTCATCACTTTCGAATTCACCACAATAGAACTATTTTATATCTACAGGCATTTTGTTATTGAAGCGAATGCAAAGCTTTGCGGAGAAGAAATGCAGAATTGCAATTAAAGAATAATACTGCAATCAAAAAATAAATAAATAAGGAAGAAAACTCAAAATGGAAATCCTGACATGTTTATATATATATATATATATATATATATATATATATATTAAATCTGCGTATTTAGTAAATTAAATTTCAGGTGTGTTAAAAAAAGAGTATAAAATTCTTAATAACGTACTATTAAAAACTTCTACCCTTATTTAAGATTATTTCTAGAATATGAAGTAACAGTAAATTCTCGCAAACTTTTGGCGATTGTCTCCTATTGTTGGCGAGAAATGTCGTTATTAATTTAACAACCCTGCAGCAGCCGCCCATCACTGCGGCCTGTCACCGTTTCTATAGTAACAAACGGCCGGCTCCATACACTCGATTAGGTGGCCAACACCCCATGAAATGTGACCCCTTACTCGCCCCGCGCCCGAAATGCCACCCTCGATCTCTTCCCTAAAAAATACATTAAAAAATATGATTACTTCGGAAGAATTAATCAATGCATCCTGACAAGAAACATGTTTGCAAAGAGAAAAATACAATTATAAAACATGGAAAATTACAGCAATTTTTGTTTTTATTGTATTTCCTTAATTATGTTACATATTTACTTTGAAATTTTTAAATATGTTGCAACTCTCTTTCTGTTACAATAGTACTCAATTTAAAGCAATTTCATATATTAGGGTGGTTTTGCTTAAAAGTATAAATAATGCTGATTCAGAATGACGAGCGTTAATAACAACACCTTGTGTACTCAAACATCAAACTCTTTTTCGGTAAAATAACGCATTCACACTAAAGCTGTCGTTTCAGAAAGGAATTATTTTATAAGCGTGCTTATTATTCAAAACGTAAGTTTAGTTTTATAAAGTATTATAAAAGCCTGACGGCTAAAATATTTTTTTTTAAAAAACCTTTCGGTACTTTTCCGTTTCGCCGGCACAAATCTCGCCAAGCAGACTTTATTGGCGACAACATACATTATACACACAAAAAATATTAAACAAATGTTAGTCCTAAGAATTCTTTTTTTGAAGGCATAAACATTTTAATATCGCTTAAAATTTATAAAAAAGCCAATAAAAATAAATATTTAAAAAGACAATAAAATTTAAAAAAGACTTAATTTCAGAATTTACTATGCTTTCATGATTCAACATCCTGTTTCGCCGGTTCATATCACGTGAGCCCAAGCGATCTCATCTCACGTATACTACTCTACAAAAATATAATGCTCTCAGTAATTATGTACATTAATTTCAAGTTAAATCTTAATTTTGAACACAAGTTTAAATGCAAAAAATACTTCAATTCGTACGAATAGCTTACTCAGAAATTATGTAAAACTGCAGTGCTTTACTTCGCTAGTGCATTCTCATTAGAATTGATGAATTTAACCCTTGACTTTACCTTTTCTATATTTTCGGCTTCGGGTAAGCGCTGTGATTGCATCCTAATTGATTTAATTGCCGAAAATGGCCTTAGACATAAAACTGAACTATCTGAATGAGGCGTAAAAGGTTACCAGCGAGAATATTCCGTTTGGCATCGGTTGTACCATTATTGGCGACTTTATCGCTTGCGCCGGCAAAACGGAAAAGTACCAACCTTTCTTTCTTTCTATACATACATATATATATTTACACGTATACAGAGAAATTTTATATTATAAACTTTTATAATATATAATATATATATATATATAAAGCTGAAAAAAATAATTGTAAGAAAGTATTTCAAATCTAGGATCCTGCGCAATTGTTGCTCAGATTATAAATAAATTAATTAATACAGTTAAAATTATAACAAAAAAGGCAATTTAAGAATTTAAAAGATGAAAACTTAAGCAAAATTGTAAAAAATTATTAATCAAAAAATGTAAATTTAGTGTAGGTAAGTAAAAAGTTAGTAGCCTTTGTCTGAGATTCCCAAGTTTTAAACCATAAGATTAATTAAAATAAAATGCAATGAAAACAACATTGGATAAAGCCTTTTTATCACTATCAGACTCAAACCTTGTCAAAAATGGTAGAATCTGACGCCGATACCTCTACTCTATCTAGCATACATGTATCTAGATATGTTTCTATTCGACTCCAAATTAGCAGAGGTATTGAAATTAATTATTTTAAAATTATTTCTATACCTGAAAATTAAAGAATCCATCTCTATATATAAAGTCTGCCAAAACAACAGTTAAATATTAATAACAAAAATAATAATTAAACATTTATGATAGTTTAATTAATTACAGATTGTACAGGTTACTATTTTTTGCCATCGCTGATAGATTTCCTGTTAAAGAAACGTTTTTTGGCCATTAAAACTCTTTTTTTTTTTTTCATACTTACCGGGATTTTTCATACATTGATTTTCTATTTAGATGTTGATTTTACCTGTTTTCACTTTACTTTAACAAGCTGGATATGTAGGAGTAGCGTCTTCTGAGGTACAATTAATTTCAAAATAATTAATTTCGTTACCTCTGTTAATTTGAGACGAACATATATACTTTACTAGGTAAAGTGGTAGTATCACTTTCGGGTTATACCAGTTCTTGATACAGTTTGAGTCTGGCATTGATAAGATACCTTTATCAACGTTGTTCTTATTGTTTTAATTTAGCTTATAAATTAAAACTTGCCAGTGTCAGCTAAAGGCTATTAACTTATTATTATATAACTTATTACTTAAAATGCATTCAATTTATATCTTTTGTTTTGATTAAAATGTTTAATATTCCTGCTTTTTTTAAGTTATCACCTTTTAAATTCGATAATTCTGGTTGTTTTCTTATAATTTATATATATATAAACTTTGCGTTTTATATACACACATATATATATATGATATATATATATATATATATAACATACAACGCAAATTACATTAAAATCAAAATACTTTTAAATTCCACTCCATATTCAGTTCGGAACAAACCACATACACAAAACCAAGAACTCAAAAAGCGCAGTGGCAAACTGTATGATAGCAGCAAAAAATATCGAAACCAAAAATGAAAAGGGAAAAAAGGAACTTGAATCGTCATCAGGGCTTGATGCAATGAAAGAAGTGTTGTACATCAGCCTGTTTCTGAACACGAATTTGTGTCTTAGTTGGTTGTTGTTTTTCTTTGTCTACGTGTATACGTTTTACTTGCATGGCCTTTATTTAACTTAGTTTTCCTATTTGTTTAGGTCTGAAATTAATTCTGGTACCACTTATACGGAGCAGATTTTTTTTTAACTTGAGGATATACGTATTTACGATTACTGTTCGAAATTCCGTAGCGATGTTTTCAGAATTCGTTGTGAACTTTTTTAGAAGTGTTGATTTTTCTCTCATTTGCTTGCCAGAATCTATAGCATAATTCGCCAATATTTTAATTTAGAAAATCTGATCGATTTTTTTAAGTTTGCGGTTTTTAGCAGTAATTGATCTTAAATCAAAGAGTTAATCCATCATTTGAGCACCTCACGATTTTAAATGATCATGAGACGGAATTTTAAAATCAAACAGAAATTTAACCTTTTCACCTCGTTACTCAACGGAGGCAACTGCGAATATATATATATATATATGTATTATATATATATGTGCATATACTTATCCAGCTCCACTGGTTTAGCTGTAGAGGCATTTACAGACAGTGTGACAACGCAAAAGTGTATTGCTTTCATAGGCAACATTGCAATGTGAATGCGTCTTACTTTGGCACTTGCATATTATTACTTTGTTTCGTTTTAAATGATAAAAATATAAATAAAAAAAAGGAAACTACCAGAAGAATTTATAATTCAGACAATTTTTTTATAAATGCTTATGACTCTGAGTCTACTATTAGTAGTGATAATGAAATTGTAATACAAGAAAGACGAAAGGTGGGTCTTATTAAGAGTGAAAATAAAAACCATCGAGAACAAAAATTAATATTACGATGTAACGTAAAATGAAAAAGGTACGAAAAAATTAATTTTCGAATACGGTCGGATATAATCGGATAACAAGACCCTTCAAGTATTGCAGAATCGATATAATTTTTCGAATTACTTTTCACAAAAGTATGTGAAATTCTAAAAGAAACAAGCAGTTCAGGAAAATATATTCCGAGATCAAAACGTTAACTAATAAATCGATATGGTATACTCACTTGATATGGATGAGGATTAACTCTAGGGAGACTTTTTAAGGTTAATCTGCCATGATAAATTATAAATGTGAAATTCACTTTTTGTTTACATTAGACCTAAGCATACTGACGTATCATATAAAAATAAATATATTC